GTGCCCAAAATAGGTATTTATTCAAAACCTGTTTCATCCATTTAACTACAAAATACACTCAAAAACACCACAAAGGGTCGGCCACATTCTCCCCCAAGGAAGCCCGCCATGCCCTATATTTACTACCCCATTTTCTCTAAAAACCTAGGTCTATACTCTTGCTAAATACTCAAAATTCTCCAAACACTTTTCCCTCAAAATTCTAACTTTGGCATCGAAGGTTTTTCGGCCAAAGCCCCCCTGCCAAATTCGTAGTGGGCGCGTGAGGCTATTGACCTTGATCTAAGGTGTTATTTGTTTTGTAGGTGCAATTTTGTTCAAGAACAAGGAGGAAGAAATTTGCATCCACATGTCCCTTCCCCTAGTCTCGGGCATTCTCTTTCTTTCCCTCTCTTATCTCTCTCACTCAAACTCTCACGCTCTCTCTGCTCCCTCACTCTTCCTTCACCTCTCCCGAGTCTCTCATTCACCATAACATCGACAGCAACACGGCCACCGCACACCATCTTTGTCGGTGTACACCTCCTTCACAAACTCTCCACCGATGAACGATGACAGAGTCACACACCCAACCACTCTCTCTCTCCCTTTTTCCTCTTTGCACAGTGGCATTGCCACTGCTCAAGATTATCTCTAGCAATTTCTCGCCATTTCCGACAAGGGGTTATAACGTTTTCAAAAGGTTTTTATTAAAACTTTATTTTCATGCCCACTCACCCTTGTTTTTCACCCATCCAGGTTTTAGTAGCTGAGCTTTCGTATCAACGAGGATTCTTGGCAAATCTTGGTATTGGAGATTACCTTTGATGGTATAATTCTCATCCTACCTTACTGTACTTTGCTTATGCTCTGACATCACGTGTGAAATGGGTTTATTTACACTCATAGCGCACTTTTATATTTAGGCACTTTATGGCTTCGTCACCTTCCAAGTGTCGGCCAGCACAACTCGATTTGGAGTCCTAGTGGACATTCTGAGTTGAAGTGTGTCAACATGTGGCGTACCAATCATGTTCTGGGTACACTGAGATTTTTTCAATAATTAGAAATGTTAATTTAGAATTTGCCCCCATTTAATCACTATTCAATCCTTTATTGTATTAATATAAAGGGAATTGTCTTTTATTTTTATTTTTTAGAGGAAATTAAAATAAAGTGCAAGCTTGTTAGTCTATAATTCACTACGTTGGTGGTACGTCAGACACGTGAGACTCGTATACAATTAAGAGAACAAAGTCATAGTTTGAGGTCCTAAATGATTAGGTTAAGATGGGAACCAGCTGTTGGGTTTCCACACTAACCTCAGATTTTTTAGTGTGATAGGAACAAATACACCAACTGTAATAATACAATTGATTGGAAACTTGAAAAGAAAAAAATTTCAACCAATTATATTATGACACTAGATATATCGAGCCGTGGTTCTTGACACACTAAAAAGTTTCCACTTTTTAGCCTACACGTCAACTCCCAAGGTTTTCCGATGAATTTGATGTTTGTCATAAGTTTTACCCAACAAAACTTTGACACAAAATTCGAAGCTCGGGGGGAGGAGGTGTCATTTTAAAAGAATTTTCAAAGAGTCTCTATTATAGGAAAATGAACAGTTAGTGTTTAAGTTTGTAAAGCAACTGTTCATAAGCTAAATATTAAAAAATTAATAAAACTCATGGGCGAATTCATGAGACAATGAAAAAAGGAATAGAGAGAATGTAGTTTAAAAAATGAAATAGTGTTGTTACAGATGAAAAGTTTAAGAGATTATCTAAAATAGTTTTTTGACATTGTTCACCTGCTAAACTAACATAAATTAATAAAATTGTTAGAGGTGCTCTAAGAAATTGTCCTTCCAACTTGATAGTTTACCATACCCTCTGTTGAGCAAAAACTGTACAAGAATTAGAACAAACTCAGGCAGAAAAATTCTCTCCATGGTGAGAGCTTTTGTCTCAAAGCTAAGAGTTATTCTCACTTCTTGTGTGAGGCTTTCAAACCCAAGAAAACCTAGTGGCGCCGGCCCTAGCTTCGGCCGGGGTTGGTTGATGTTGCCTTCTTGCTTTCTTTCTCTTTTGTTTTCTTTGCTACTACTGCTTTTTCTCCCAAATTTCTACTTCGATCTATTCTATTCCTCTATCCTCGAGGGTATTACTCTTCCTGGCTCTTCCTTGCTCCGATCTTCAGCCATGAATCCTACCAAGATTGTGCGTAGAGTTCTAGTGTATCCACCGGCATGGGTGTTTCCAATACCACCACTTTCTCCTTGTTGTCTGCTGGTTCCGGCAGCATCGTCGTGGGTTTCCACGAGCTTCATACTGATAGTTGGTTTCTCTCGCTTAGTTGTCAGTTATCCCTAACTTATGGTTATGCTCAGGTAGTAAATCGGAGTTAGATGTGACGTCTGTTGAGGCGGTGCTTGGTGGTGGACAAGGAATCTGACTGATGGACTAGAACTGGACTGGTAGAGAAAGCTATGGAAAGCTGTGGATACTTCTGGTTTTGGAAGCTTGGTGTTAAGCTTGGGTCTAACTGTTTTTGGGCTAATTTTGTGCTTTCTAGTGTTTTAGGCATATTTTTGTTTGTTAATATGAAATCTTTTGGGCCTTGGTTTGCTTGTATGTTTGTTTGTGGTGTTTAATAAAATATCCTTTTACCAAAAAAAAAAATTGTACAAGAACTGTAAACAAATCATTCACTCGATATAATTCCACCCTCATTTATTTTTTTCGAAGAGAATTTTATTAATTTTGAGTTCGACTCATTCTAAACTATGCGTCTACTGTACAACTCTTTGTTTGAGAACGTAAGCGACAAACCCGAATAGCCATCATGCATATCAACCGATTTACTTCTCAACGGTTGACAACTGATCCCAAATACAACAAAGAACATTCGGAATTCCCCCAAACAACTCACTTCCGATTCCCCCAAAAAGACCCAGAATTAGAACACCACTTAAATGTAGAGAGTCCAATTCCATTGGCGTGTGTTCCACCAATTTTTTGATTCTGCAATATTTATTAGAGTAATGCTAGAGAAACGAATCTTTTAGACCAAATTTGCAAATCATGTGATATGTTACTAATATGAAATAAACATGTTAATCAACATTTAAGTAATAATCAAATCATCAACAATCATATCATATGGTTTATGCTATTTATTAGAGTAATGCTAGAGAAACGAATCTTTTAGACCAAATTTGCAAATCATGTGGTATGTTACTAATATGAAATAAACACGTTAATCAACATTTAAGTAATAATCAAATCATCAACAATCATATCATATGGTTTATAAAATTTGATTTAAAATAGTTGGTCTTCCTAGCATTACCCACTTAACAAACATCGGAATAATCCCGTAATCAAAATAATTCAATTCTGTAATTGATTCTGATTACAATTATATAAACGAGTCATCATTAATACATATTCTCCAAGCCATGCCAATATAAAAAATAAAAATAAAAATCAACGAGGTAATGCCTGTTAATGTTTCTAGTTGTTTATGATTATTTAAGTTTATAATGATTACCAACCACTTAACAATAAAGTCTAGTGTTATTCTTATTTGCTTGTAGGTAAGAGGTCTTAAGTCAATTTTCAACGATAACGAGTTCTGACCAATTATTATGGCTAACTCATTATGTTGCTTAGCTTAAATCCCCTACTCTGTGTAAATATTGTTGTTTTCAAGAAGTTTACTATAATAACCGAAGGAGTGCCCTATGTTCCTAGAGGTTCTATATTCCAAAACTCCCACCCTGTATCTGTGTTTTTAAACAATAAAAAAAAAAAATATATATATATATATATATATAAAGGCAGCTTACAGTCGTCTTTTGCTTTTGTACATTCATGTTGTACTGAAAGACTCGTTACCATTGGTCAAGAAAAATAAAAAAGACTCGTTACCATGTATTGTATCACGGAAAGGGGACAGCGGTCATAATATAATGAAGGTCAAATATATTAAATTTCCTTCTTGTTCATCACATCAATTAGTATAAAAAATGAAATCAATCATCATATATGTTGTATATATTTACGGACCAGGATCCTCTCCTGAGCAGATGGAGAGGATCCTCCTGATCAGGCCCATTAGACCATTCATTTTTTATCCAACGGTTACAAACAGGAGGCCCTTCTAAAAGTTATAATAATTATAACCGTTGGATAAAAATGAACGGCTCAATGGGCCTGGTCAGAAGGATTTAGGAGAGGATCCTGATCCTATATTTACCTACAGTTTCTTTTCAAAGAAAAAAAGACATTTGTTTTTCACATACTTTTTTTAGCCTCTCTCGCACCCTTTCTTTTATTTATGGTCATCAAATTAAATGCATCAAATAGAAATAATGAAAAAGATGAAATAATGGTGCGGGGCTAAAAATAGAGTTTTTTTACACTTAAAAAAAATTAAATGATTTTTTTTGTTGTCAAAAAACCCAAACAAAGTTTGTTATAAAAACATAATATCTTATGACAATATAGGTACAACAAAATTACTCTGAAAATAAATAAAAGATTTTGTTTCATAAGTCTTTTCTCTTGTAGTGCACAACAATGCACTTCATGATTGCTTGATAACCATTTTCTTTTTAGTTTTTGTATGTGGCATAGAAGAGAGAAGAAGAATGAAAAAAGGGGAAAGAAAAGCAAAAGTATTGTTCTAAAAGTCGGCCTAGGCGTTGACTAGCCCCATCCTGCCGCCCAATTAGATGGGTGAAGTCCTCCTATGGGAATATCACAAATGATGCGATTCAAACTTCCATTATAGTAATACAATGGTCATGAGATATGATTGTGCTTCTTCTAGGAGGAGCAGTTCAATCAAAGAATGGAGAGTGATTATGGAATGAACGGGATGAAGTGACCATCTTAGCCTCACACGTGAGACTCACTTGCAGGCTACCCGAGGAGGGACGATGAAAGTTTCAATTTTGGATATAAATCCTAACAGATTTGACCACAGAATGTAACATAGATAATAAGTAGAAGTTATAATCATTCCAATAGCCATTACAAAAGTAAAATATTTGTCACTATAAGATATTTTTTACTAGCATGTATTCCAAAAATAAAACACTAACAATTCATCAACAAAACAGCTCATGCCCGGTGATGCAAGAGAAGGCATTGGCATAATAGTTATCAAACGGGTCCTAAAGATTTCAGACGCTTTTTTGTTTGATGGAACACGAAATTATACCAACTATTCCACATATCACTTGTCAAACTACACTAAACTGGCTTGTCACAGTGTGTATGCGGTAATGCTGCAAACCGCGACATAACTCGGGAACTGAAACCACTTCCCTATATACAGCAAATGCTAGTTCACAGTAACTGTAATCTAGCTCGTGTATCCACTCGTGAAAAATAATAGGAAATGTCTATGTAGTTCCATGAACCAGCATAACTTAATGAAATGAAACTCACTGGCTATCAGGCTTGCCCGAGCATTTCTTGCTCCAAACAACCGAACCTGCTTTTCGCTCCCCTCGCTTTCTCTTGTTTCTATGAAAACTTACATCTGAAGCCAAGCATGACTCTAGAGTCGATTGCTCCTGAGGAAGAGCAGCTTCTGCCGAGGGAGCAGGGTCTGATTGTGGAGTTGGAAAAACGGCTTCTTGTATGTCTTTCTCTGGTTGCTCATGTTCCTCTTTAGGTTGGTCGTTGATCATTTGGAAAGTGTGCTTCTCTGCTTCAGCCACCTCGCTATGTATCGGGACATTATCCACAATCTGTAAATTATAACATTCCGTCTACCATAAGGTAATTGATGGACTTGACCAAAAATTTGGGGATAAGTTTCTGTTATGCAGGGAAACAAAGGTAACTAAAAAGGTATCTTTATATTACCACTAAATGCACAAACAAAAATACTTCGAGCTACCAGCGATATTGATTAATTATCTTAACTATAATGATGGGAAAATTTCGGGTTTGGCGTAACTTTGTTAACTCCCAATTAGGCCCTTTGTTAAAACAAAATTAGTATCCACGTGTGGTAGTTGTTGGAGAGATGACATCCACTGTGTCAATTTTACCGTATTTGATATGTGATATGTATCTATCATCACATAGTAGAAATATTTTTGCTGCATATTTCAACTAATCATTTTAAACTCAGCGGAACAAAATGCGAAGGTTAAAAGAAAGTTGTGGAATAAAAGTTATGTTCCATAGGGAAGACTTACATCTTCGCTTGAGTCTCCAAACTGCGGCTGATGGAAGGTAACGTCAACAGCAGATGGTAGTCCCACAGTGCTTTCAATTATATCAGGAACAGTGATTCCCTCCACAAAACTTGAGACATGTTGAGCTGGAGTATATATAGCTCCCGCAGAGATTGTGTCTCCAGTGCCAGGAGACAATGCTGGACTATGTGCAGAGCTGGTCTGTGCATCACAGGGTACAAGAACACTCAAATTTTCGCTGGAAGAAAACCTAGCAGCATTTTTGGACATCACCACATCCATTTGATACTTTAACTTGTGAACCCGAGAGTGCACTGTCTCAATTTTCCAAAGGACATGCTCCAAAGGCTTGTCACCATCTCGGTACTCAAAGAATGCCCAGTTATCACCACTGCTGAGTTTATCGTTGTAATCCGCACTCTGCTCTGCGATTACTATCCCCTCAACAATAATAAAATTAGTCTGTTTTTTTTTTCGGAGTCTATCTTAAGGAAACAAATTATGCTTGAACAAGTGAATAAAGAAAAAAACTATACACAAGCATCAGAACAAAATGTAAAAAGCTGCTGAATTGAATAAGATTGGCAAGAATGAAGAGTCCTACAGCTATTATACATATGCAAGCACTCATACAAATATAGAAATACCATGCAAGGCAAGCCAACAATGAGAAAGAAACGACAAATGGTAAGAACTATACCGGCATTACTAAAGTCATCAGCAAAGGAAGTGCCATCATGATCGGATCTTTTATTTTCTGCAATACATTAGAATGCTAGGATAAATATCATTGCGGGAGGTGTATTTTGTAAAGGAGAGTGAAAGAGCAAAAACATGGTGTATTTTAGTATAAAGAAGAAGCTCCCACCAAGATAGGAAAAGACATTATGATTTGAGATATATGATGCTATATCAGTTGTGTCTTCAACTCTTTTGCGTTTCCTCCTCTTCATAGCTTTCTTTCTGCAGAATTGACTACAAAATGGCAATGACTTTGAACCAAATTCTTCCAAAGGAAATTGGTCGAGTCCTGTATGTCTTTTTTTACCATATGCTACTCCTAGGTCTCTGGAATACTTTAGTGCTTGTTCTTCAATTTCCTTAATTCTCAATTCCATCCAATTGCAGCGCCACATTACTGGACGTATAAAGTTTCTCCAGTGATTTGTCAACTTCTTCTTCCTGAATTAGAAACAAAGGCAGTTTGAAGATTCACGTGAGGGGTTATACTATTTCCCAGAAGTACATGCCCAAAAAATGACACAGAAGTATCAAAAACTCATGCCTATGCTTACATACTTGTAAAATTGGAGAGACAGAGAATGTTTGACCAGTGTTTTTTAGATGGAAAAACCACCTTAGAATGTAGATTGTTCCAAAATTAAAAATGCTTGTCAAATCAAGATGTGCATAATACAAAGGGTTTCATCCTGCCTTTCCAAGGCTCAAGTCTAGAAGCAGTTAATCATGTATGAAGTAGCGTGCGAGTTACGACTTGCACGGTACAAATGGAAATCACAACTAGATATAAACTAGAAATAATAAATTACAAAGAGGGAAGAAGAAGCTGGCACACACCTGCTTTGAAATGCCCTCGCAAATGCATCAAAAGCAGATGTCAAAGTACTGTCCTCAAACGAATGGGACTGCACTTCACCTTCTTCACAAAATCCAGAAAAACTACCAGTGTCAGACGTAGTGTCGGCAAATGAGGTTGAATATTCATCAGTTGCATCAGCATCAGGATGGTCAGTTTCAGGCTGCTCCTGATTACTTGTGCACTGAATTATATCAATGTCGAAGATTGAAGCCATGTGTTTTCCCTCCGATGCCGAAGCAGAAGCAGAGTTTGGCAAGGAAGCCCTCCTGATTTCTGTATCATCATCAAGAAGTTCAACTTTTGGGTTGACAAATGGTTTACAGTCTTGGTCAGCCTCCATGAATGGTTGGGCAGGAGCCATAGCCACCAGCTGAGCTGAGCTATGTTCTTATAACATCAATTTACGAATGCTTACTTATAATATCAAGGAGGAATTGATGTTGGAATATCACGAGTATCGATCATTAGCATGACATACATGCATAATTGGCACATATATATATATATATAGAGAGAGAGAGAGAGAGAGAGGTGCCAGAGAGTGTGAGTGAGAGTGGGAGTGAGTGAGGAGCTGAGGAGAAGAGAAGGTGGTGGTGGCGGTAGCGGCCGATGAAAGCAAGTAGGGAGTGATGAGTGCGTAACGTTATAAAAACCTAAACGCAAATTACACAATGGCCTCTAATTTCCTAATAATTTCTTAATTTCCTAGTCAGAGTTAAGGCTTTCCCGCTTTTGGTAACACGTGTGAGTGTGCCATTTGCCGCGTGTTACAATAAATTATAATATAAAGTGTTATACTACATGTTTCAATATAAGTGATTGACAAAATTGATATATCCGCTTTATGATATATATTTTTCAATGTTCTTTCACTTATATTATGAAATGTGATCTACTCCCTTATGTTCCAGCTACACTGAAATAATGAGAACTTACTTTGTGCTAGTTGAATAATATATGATAGGGCACGAGAGAAGTAAGAAAGATGGTGGGAAAGGTGTGGTAGAACTATGTAGACACACACACACACAAAGAAAGGTAAATAAAATAAAAGCTGAAAATCAGAAACAAAAACTTACTTTAAATTGTTTTCGCTTTCAAGATTTTATTTGTATTCATCTTTCTTTATTTCTTACCCTCCTTTAGAAAAATTACATTAGTGGTTTGACAAATAATATGACCGTAGTAATGTAGGTATTGTGTTGCATTTCATTTTTAGCTAAATATGTTCTCCAATATACCCCACTGACTTGATTAGTCATCGCATGCGGCCAAGTGTCACTCATTACTTGTGGGACAGCTCAAGCATAAATCAGAAATCAACTAAGTGATACTCATTAGTCTATTTCTCTCTTCTATGTTTCATCTAACCACTCAAGATTAAGTCGTGTGGTGATGCTAAAGGTTGACTACTTTGACAACTAAAGGAGAAACAAAGGTGGAGAGTTTAAAGAGAAGATTTGAAGAACAAGAAGATTGGTGAAGCAATTTGTAAGGGTTTTTCTAATAGCTTCAAGGGTGAGTTTAGTTCATCCTTCTTCTATATTTCTAAAAGAAATATGTAGTTGTTAGAGGTATGTCCTAAAAACAATCAACGAGTTGATAAACTATTTCGGACAATACCACGATAGTTCATGAGCTAATCACCGGGCATGATCACCAACATCAACTAAACCATATAAAAATCTTTTGGGTGAGTCCATGGACAACTTCAATGAGTTGTATAGATAATTCATACATAAGAAGGAAGTAACATAATGAGTTAAGTTATTGAGACAATTATCTCATGTGTTTATCCTAAAACTATTCCCGAACGTGGAACTATCGAGTGGATATTGGTAATTTCGAAAGGATCAGTGCACACTTATGTTTGCATATGCAAAAACTCATTGCCTTAAAAGGATCATACGAGCAAAATAGTTTAAATTGGTGTTATGTTCATAACCAAAAGGGTTTGGCATTAATCATCTGTACTTATAAATGTAAACGAAAGTATTGTAGTAGAGAATGACTATTATACTGTGATTCCAAACTACACAGGTTCTCTGTATAATTATTCCATATCGACATGGACACCATAACATATAGTTAGCTAGGTGTTACTCATAGTTAGTAAGACTCGTGAAATGGATAATCTGTTTCACAATAAGGATAGTACTAAAAAGGTTTTAAGTTCGCTATAGAGATTATTGGAGATTAATTGCTCTTACTGCCTCGTCGGTTAAAACCTAGTGGATCACACACCTTATTGGGAAGCTAACACTATGTTTGGATGAGGGAAATAAACTTAGAATTTTGATAAAAGTCAGAATTTATAAATTTACATGCACCAATTTCCTTGTTTGGATACATAAACATAGAAATTTAGAATTTATGCGTGGATAAAAAAACTTGGAATTTGGGACCTCCGATTCCCAAGTTCAAATTCCATGTAACACCATTTCCCAATTTCTATGATTGAGAGTTTAAAAATAACAAATTCCGTATTCAATTCCATTGTTCTTTTAGGATTTCCGTCATTTTTAAATTCTTTAGTAATTTTAAATTTCTTCATCTAAACATAGTGTAAGATTACAAAAGCAGGTTGAACTAATTAATTATGATTAATCAGGAGATGGAATAATTAACTAAATGAATTTAAGTTATTCATAATCGTAGAGAAGCTATAAAATAACAAGTGGGCCTCAAATGTAACAAGCTTGGATTTTTGTTTACATTATTATTTGGGTGAACTGTCAATTTAGTCCCTTAATTATCACCTGAGTAAAAATTAGGTCCCTAAACTAATTTTTCAGAACAATCAGTCATTGAATTATAAAAATTTGCCAATTACATCCCTAATATTAGATTCAAAGTTACTATATTCAATTTTCTGTCAATTTAAGTCATGTTATTTGTATGTGATACATATTGGAGGGTAGATTGGTAATTTTTCATAAAGAACTAGTGTATGGAGTTAACTTTGGAGGGTGAATTAGATATTAGATTCGCAACCTATATGAAATGTCAAGGGCTTATAGGCAAGAAAATAATGGTATTACACTCTAAAGTGTGTCAAGTGACTTAAGTTGACGAAAAATTAGATAAAATAGCTTTGAAAATAATAGTAAGGGTGAAATTATCAATTTTTAATGAATTTAGGGACTTATTTTACTGAAAAAATAATTCAGGGACCTAATTTTCACTAAAGTGATAGTTCAAAGACTAAATCGGCACTTCACCCTTATTATTTTAGTGGCACAAGACACCATGTTATTTTAGTAGCACATAACGTCATGGCGAGACATTCAATCCCGTCGTTAAACCCGCTACCATTCGCACTTTTCTTAATTTGGCAGTTTCTCGGGATTGGTCGTTACGTAAGCTAGATGTCAAAAATGTTTTTCCTTCGTTGGGGAAATATTTCTTTGTGGTGTGTAAGATCACCCACAATGGGGACTCTATCCTCCATGAGGCTACTATATTTCAAGTCTTAGCGAGAAATTTTATCCCCAATGAGCCGAAAAATGGGGCTAGATCCGCCACTAGGGCTAGCAACGTTCTTTCTTGGATAGCATAAAATCGGGCTACATCTAGCCCCAAAAAACAGTGGGTACCACACAACAAGTAGCAACCCATGTGAGCAAAATTCTATCACTCTCTCTCCACTTGCAAATACATTTATACTCTCATTTTATTTTTATTTTTTAAAATCTTTTTTCTTACTTATTTTTCTTGCAATATGGGTAACTAATGATTGTTTTAAATTTCATAAGAATTAAAATTTCAAATTGATTTAACGTTCATGGGCATTGGTGGGCGAAATTTTCAAATAATTTTTTTCAAAATTGTATGATACTAATTTATCAATTGGTGCTAGGTAAATTGTTTATACATGAAAATAAAATTATTTCAGAGGGCGAAGTGGGAGTTTGTTTATTTCAACTGATGAGATTGAGATAAGAGAATCTAATCCAACGAACGATTCATAAATGATGAAATCTAACTTTGTCACAATTTGAACTTTTTAGGTTGAAAGGTTCATAAAAAAAAAGAAATTTAAGATATCACGTCTAAAAATCAATTTAAAAAAAACTAACACAACAAAATAATAATAAAATAAAATCATCGCTTAATCAAAGTACTATATAAATAAATATATATAGCCTGAAAGATATAACCCCTCGTTAGAATAAATTCTTTTATAACACCCCAAAGTTTCTTCAGAACCCTAGAATAAGTTATATCCATCACTTTTCTAACCCAACACCGGATGCTCTAAAGCCCGGAACGATCCAAGGTCCGCCCAGACCAAGAGCAAGACCATCGTTTTGTTTTTGCTTTGAGTCTTGGGAGGAGAGACTGAGACTCGTGAGCTCGGAAGGAAGAGATATGGGAGCGTTGATGGTGGCTATGTTGGTGGTGCTCGCGGTGGCAGTAGCTTCCGGTGCATCGAAAGAGCAAATGAGCACAAGGGAATGCGAGAATCTTGGTTTCACAGGTCTCGCTTTATGCTCTGATTGTAACAGTTTGGCTGAGTATGTCAAAGATCAAGGTTACCCATCCAATCCAATTCTCCTCCATTTTTCTCTTTCTTTTTCAAATTCCCACACTTTACCTTTGTTGTTGTTGTATATTTTGGTTGTGTGAATTGTTGTTGTTGTTGTTGATGGGGTTTGAAGTGTTTTAATCCAAATTAGAGTGAGTCTTTAGGAATTGTCCCAAAAAAAAAAGAAAAAGAAAGAGTGACTGTTTAGGAGGTGTTTAGGTTAGCAAACATTGATTGGTGCAATCATAGAACAAAGTCTGAGAGTTTTAACACTGGCAAATGGCAATTATTGACTTTTTGGGAAGGAATTTGTGATCTGAAGAGGAGGAGTCTCCATTTCTTCAGGTTCCCAACTTTGGCAATTATCATTTGTATCAATTAAGGACATAGATATTAGGAGCACCGAAAGATATTTGAGTCTTGAATTCCATCGATATTCCGTACCGAATAATGTAAATACAACTGCATAGCTGATGATCATGGAAATAAGTGGCAAGACGATGTAATTAGTGGCCATTCCTAATGGTGTTTGCGTTATAAGACATCACTATCACTTGCATTTTTTGGAGATCACTTGCATTTGTCCAAGCCCTTGGAAGGAGAGATCTCGTGGTTACGACTCTTTCATTACAAAATGCCACTTTGTTGCGCAAACATGTTGATAGAAACAAGTTTTGGGAATATGAGTGGTTGGGAAATTCTACCTTTAAATCTCAGTTCCAAGCTCTACAGTAGTACAGTATACCGGTTGTCGTAATATGGCCATTTCTAGTGTTGTGGATTTTTCCAGTGGATGGATGAACTGGAAATTTTGCTTCAGGAGAAATCGAAGGGGAAGTGGAAGAATCTTCACCCCTTTTTGAGATTGCTGTAAAATATCATTTTCCACCCTTCTATGATGGATTCAAGGAAATTGTCCCTGGAACCCAAAGGAAGGTATTCTTACAAATCTTACTATAGTTTCATTGCTAATCACGACAATGAAACTCTTTCTTTACTATTGCACGATATGGAAATCCAGAGCTCCATGTAAAGTAAAGATGTTGGATAATTGCCCGTGTCAAGGTTAACACTTGTGACATGGTTCATAGAAGGCACCGCTCTAACCGCTGGTCGCCTTATTGGTGTAT